GAAAATATTTACTGAAACAGTTATTTAAAAAATTTCGGAGCTATGTTTAGACACTGCCTCCAGCTTTCGTGATCGCAGCGCCAGTCCCCAATGCGGTTTCTAATGCGGTTGCTGTTCCAATACGAATGATACGGTTGCGTCACAATGCGCTCATATTTTTCATAGATAATTTTGAATTTTTCGGGGAATCGGGCAAACTCTTGTTTACATTATGTGTTTTAGTTGAAATACTGTTTAGTTGTTGATATTTAAGAAAATGAGCAACTTTGATAGCGTGAAGCGTTATTTTGTATTTGCTTTTTACATTAAGATTTATGTTTCTAATTTGAAAATTCAGATGATTTTTTTTTTCCTTGAGCGTGCCATAGTGAGATTTTATTGATTTGAAATATTTACATACTGCACTTTGTATTGTTTATATAAGAATATGTAGGTTAATATAGGTTCTTTACTTCTTTGTACCAAATAAAAATGGTAGTAAGTATTGTAATCGAGAAAACTTTTGGGTATCATATTTTAACGGAAATATCCATTTTTGGCCGATTACGGAATCCATGTGAATTATTTTTTGGGATGACGTCTCTACGTACGAACACAATGAAGGACTCTCTCTCTCTCTCTTTTTTTTTTCTTTCAAAAAAACTGATTGTTAAATGTAATCCCATTTACTCTAAACTGATACTTATGACTAATGATTATGACTCTAAGTTGATACTTGAAAGGGATTTTTTTCTTGATGTGTAAGTACGTATGTATGCATTTCGCATAACTCAAAAACGATTAGTTGTAGAACGTTGAAATTTTGTATATGGGTCCGTTATAACATCTAGATGTGCACCTCTCTTTTTATTGCAATCGGTAATACTACCAAACGTAAATATGTATATGTATATTAAATAAATTATAATTAAACGTAAAGTACATATATATATATGTCCTTATAATTAAATGTAAAGTACACACACTCACATATATATATATAAAATAAAAGCCAAGTAAGGCGAAAATAAAGCTTTGGCTTTTATTTTATTTAATTATCACTAAATAAGTTACTTGACTTTTATTTTCGCAATCATCGGTTGTAGTCAGGACTTAATTTTTAAAATTAGAAGGTGCTGGAGCTCTATGGAAGGCCATCAGGAAAGATGATTAAATAAATAAATAAAAATAAAAAATAAATAAAATAACTATTACAATAATAAAATAATTAGCAACTAGAATATTAAATGATTATTACTATAATTTAAAAAAAATTAAAGACAAATGAAAATGTAATTAATTCTTAAATTAATGAAGAATAACTAAGTAATGAAATAAAATACCAGACATCGTCTTGTTTAGGGGCTGTGCCTGAAATTGCAATCTCAGAACTAAGCCGAGCATTAACTAAATTTAGGCTTTTGATGAGCAAATAATGTAGTGTTTACCAGAATATAGATAGAAATTTGGTTATGTAGCCCATTCTTCTAAAACGTCTAATTTTTCTCCCATCGCCTGTCACCTCAGAAGAGTCGCCTCTTTTGTTGCTTCCCCCACCAATTCCCTTTTTTTTTCGGTTTTCGGTTTATTCGGTTACGGCAAAGCACACTAGGGCTATTGCCTAAGGGGAGGGATAGGGAGGCTTTCGTGGAGGATTTTTTAAAGAGAACTGGACTAATATGCAAGGTTACACACGGGGAAAATCACGAAACAGCCTGTGCAGCCTAGCCGTTAGCCGGGAATTCGAACCCCGGACCGAACTATTAGTGTTCAGCGACTTTACCGCTCGAGCTCTGGTGGGCTCCTTTTTCGTTTCATTAGCTGTTGGAAAAACAGGTGTTCACTTTACGATGAAGTAAGAACCTGTTTACTTCAATTAAAATGGGTTAGACGATATGACTCTTACTACTTTAATCTCAATTAGCTTTTGATTTCTAATATTGATTCAATATTTTCAATAGCGGATTTTTGTTGTATTAAGCAGACTTAAGTTCTCTGTTAGCTAGTGTAACATAATTTCGGATTTTATGAGCCTTCCAGAATTATTAGCAAAATAGTGGAAATGTCTTTACAAAGTGTTTTTGTAAGCAAACAGCAGATGTACACTGAGCAGTGATCAACTGATATATTTCTTAAATGATTTGGTTTAGTTGATTATGACAAAACACATTGGGGTATGTGCCTAAGAGGAAGAACGCCTTCGTAGAGCACTTTCTTAGGAAAGCTGGCTCGTATGGTACGTGGTAAGCTGGCTTGTAAGCTCGTACGGGAAAAAAAACCACGAAAACACCCATGAAGCCAGCCCGTTCGCCTGAGATCGAACTCAAGTCGGAACTACCAGTGTTCAGCGATTTTACCGCTCGACCGATGGTGGGCCATTTCTTAAATGAATAAAGGTATACTCTTAGCATTATGAAATAACACTGATTGAATTATTTAATGCTTCACTATTATCTCTAATAAAGTAACATAAAAATTTCCTTACCTTTTAAAGATTTCTAAATTTCTTTTAAGTTCTTTCTTAATTCGTACTTAACCTGTACATGTGCGAATGTTTTATCGATCATATTGTTAAGTGTAAAAAGCAAGTTGACGTTTATAATATAGCATTCCTTGTCTCAACAAATAACAGTCTCAACAAGGAGTTTTTAGAAAGGGGATGAATCGGGGAAAATTCACCCTTTCGGTCATTAGCGGTTCTGATGAAGGGAATGGGGGAAGCAGCGAACGAAATAACGAATAACGGACAAATAACGAAAGTTAATCTTTAATGCGGTCTCCCAGTTTCTGTATTTATATTTGGGAAAGTTTTATGGTCATTATGAAAAAGTGAAAATTTGATATGGATTCCGCGTGACTTTCCTTCTATGACTATTTAAATTATGCTTATTTTTGCTGCACTTCATTTAAACTTATTTCCTCGAATTATTCTAACTTAATTAAGCGATACCCGAAGGCAAGTTACAAATGGCATCAAACATTGCAAATTTTGAAACTAAATTTCTCGGTCAATCTTTGTCCTACGGGACTCAAACTTCTTGTATTTTTATTTTTTCATAACGAGTATAAAACTTTGCCAGATATAAATATAGAAACCAGAAGACGACATTAAAAGTTGGATTTCATAATTTGTCCAAAATTAATTCTTTTTAAAATCTGACATTGACAAAATATGAATATTTTCGTCATTTAAAATACTTCTGTATTTTTGTTGCACCGTATTTAAACTTGCTTCCTCGAGTTATTGACATTAAATTACATTAATTCCATTATCTATTGGAAAATAATTATAGCTAATCATCTATTTACGACATCTCTAAGAGGTCACTTCTTAAGAGATCTCTATTTTTGGGAACATAAACAAACATTGGTAGTGAACATCACTTTTTTAAGACCACCACATGTAAAATCCTCTAAAAGCATGAATGGTTGCATTTAAAGAGGACCCATTACTTTTAATAAGGAATGTAACATTAATCTTATTTATACATGTTTTTGATGTGTGTGCCAAAATAGTGATACCGTACTTCTGTTGCTTTAGAAATGTGTGAAATTTAAAAAAATGGATACTGTATAACAAAAATGTTATTATATTCAGATACACACCTTTTGAACACGTCTGAAATTCATTATCCTGCTCAACATAATTTGTCTGCATAAAATATTAACTAGTATTAAAAAATCAAAAGTCGATGTAGAAACAGTCATCTCTTCTAAACCATTTTAATTGAAGTAAACAGACGTTCGCCTTATCGTAAAGTAAACACCTATTTTTCGAACAGCGGATGAAACGGGAAAAAGGGAATTGGTGGGGGAAGGCAGCAAACGATATAACACTTTTTTGAGCTGGGAATGAAATGAGAAAGGACGAAACGATACTAAGCCAATAAGACAAGATCTGGTATTTTACTTTATTACTTAATTAGTCATCATAAATTTAAAAATTATTTTAATTTTTATTTGTTTTTACATTTTTATTAAATTTTACTCATAAGTATTTTACATTTCAGTTGCTAATTATTATGTTAGGCCTTCTGTAGGCGCTTCTAATTTTAGAAACTAAGCCCTGACAGCAATAGAAAATTTAATAATGAATCATATCCAGTGCACCAAAAAATAATATCCAAAATAAAGTGAATTTTTTCTACCCAAAAATACGACGCAAAACTCCCTATCGCAGCACTACTCAGTTCCCGCGAGGTAGAATAGCTCACGTGATTCAATGCGATGTGACGTTTCAAGGCCCTTTTTAGGGCCGTAGACCGATAAAATAAGCTCAGGATACGGATACGGATCGATTTTACCGACAGTAACGAGTAACGATACGATAGTAACGAGTACTGGTTCACCGAGTAACGAATACATACGGGTACACAATTTCTCGTTACTTCTACAGCACTATTGACTACAAAATTACATTGTATTTACAAGAACTTCGTGAACATCTTCGCGTTTTCATCGACAGCCAATCACTCCACCTATAAATGACGTCATTTTCAAGTTAAACATAATTGGCTAGCATCAGAAGGGTACGGCGCGGGGTCCAGCTTCTCGTTTCAGAATCCATGCTCGGCTTGTCACGTGACCAAACAAGTGTCGTTTTTTACGTAGCAAGTCGGTCAGCCAATAGTGATTCAGCATTGTCACAGCAGGGGGTACGGCGAGTACGTTTTAGGCCAAGGTCCTTAGAAAGAACCGTCGTCGAGCTAACCTTTTCTTTCTACGGACCTTGCGTTTTAGGAACATGCGCGCCGTAGTAGGCAAAAGTGGGGTAGGCGTCTTGCCAGGTTAAACTAGTCGATATTTCCGTGACGTCAAAAATTCGAAAAGTGGGGTAGGGTTTGGAAATACGCAGCCGGGAATGCGCCAGGACAAGGGAGAAAACCGATTTGGGTTGGTCTATTTCTTATAAGTAAGGCCATGCGGTCAAAATTACCTTTCTATTTGCCTTTCCTTCCCAGCTAAGCTTGTTTTTTCACCCAGCGGGCAAAAGGACTTAGCGATTGCAAAACAAGACATTTTTGTCTACTTTGTCTGTCCGTCTAGGAAATGTGAAAATTTCGAATCATCCTATACTTCATGATTTTCTTAGATGTACAATAATTCATAGTGCTTGTGAATTGCTGCAGAAGTTGATAATTATATTTTCAACAAATAGTTATATCTGTTTTGGACATTTCATGGTCATGGTTGTAAAGCCTCAAAGTGAAATGAGTGAAACAACCAAAAAAGTGGATCTAGGATTGCTTGAAGAAGATGACGAATTTGAAGAATTCCCTGCTGAAGGTAAAGTTATAAAATAAATTTCCAAAAATTATTGGTAGTTTATCTCATTGATAGTTATTATCTCAAAGCGTTGCTCTTAGAATAATCTTAATTAATGTGGAAACTTTTAGCACTGATATTTTTCATGTAGTGTGTGGCAGGTTATTCCTAAATTTTGCGAAAATGAAATGAATTAGATGAATAAATGTAAATATCGCCAAAACAGCGGGAAAGTGCGATACAAGTTTATATATTTTGCTAATTACAGTATTTTTACTTGAAATCTGGGATGTTTATTTTCATTAAGAACTTTCTGGCAGTAATTCATCTATTCGTTTAAGTAGAAATTACATTCTTTTAGTGAAAAGGTTTACGAATTCGTGTTCGTAGTGGTGCTCTCTGAGGAAAAAGTACCATTACGAACATTGACATAGGTCTGTAAAAAATATAAAGTAACCAAAATTGTCATGTTAAATTCGTTTAAGTAGAAATTACTTTCTGACATGACAAAATTGTTATGTCATGGCACAACTAGGAGACAGTTTAAAAAAGTATTGATGTATGCATATGACCAGGTTCAAGGTCGAAAATGAGCCCCAACAGACTCTCAAGATCGTTGTTTGGCAATGGTTGTTAAAAGAAATAGATGACTCATGTCAGCTCAACTTGCAAAAGAGTCTACTATATCTCAGGGCTCATTTACCTAGATAAATCACAAGTGATATTCTGCACAAGAGAGGATTGTGTGTGAAGAAACCGATGACTTGTACCTCACTAATTCATGTTTATGAAATGCACCTATTACACTAGTGTATAAATCATCAAATTGGAATATCATGAACTGAAGCCTTTTCTCTTCACTTATAAATCTCAGTTTTGTTTGTAAAGTGATTCTAGATGTGTTTATAATCTGAAGGGAGTAAAATGTATAGCTGATCTTTAGAATATGGTAACTGGTAGTTTGGTGACATTTTGAAGGCGATAAAGGTTACTACCTGGGACTTTGGTAATAATGTGAGCAGTACTCAGTTCCGATTACGCATTATTTTGTGTGAGGAAAATGAGAGATCATGGATATGTCATGTGATATTAATGGACGAATTACGGTTCTTTAATCGGAAAAGGGGGAAATCGGGAAAAAATCTGGAAATTTTGTATTTGGCTTTATTCTGTGTTGTGTGAAACAGTGTTCGTTAATTTTTGGATCCCATGGCCCTAACTAAAGTGAATTCGAAATGGGTATTTAGTGGGATTGAAAGGGGTAGTAATAAGTGTTTCTTTAAGGTTGTGCGAGATAGAAGTAAAGATGTTTTATTAAGTTATTTATTTTACCTAGTACCTTGCAGTGAACTATAAGTATGATTTTAAAGATCCTGAAACAGAAATAAGAAAAGTTTATCGGACACGTAATCAAGATTCTGAAGAAGATTAGGTAAGTTAGTATTTTTAATTATTTGAGGATATTATTTTTATGCATTGTTCTAAATGTAAGGTGGAAGTAAAGTAATTTGGTATTATTGGGAAAATTGTTATTAGCAATGATTTAGTTTAAAGTAATAAGAATTGTAAGCTAATTTTTATTAATTTAATGTATGTGCTTATTTATATTTTAAGTAGTGTTTTTGAATTTAATTATATTTTAATTAAATGATAGTTTTTTTGTGAATTTTATGTTTGTAGGAATTTGGTATACGTTTAGTTGAAGTAAACGTGCATGGAAATAATTTAAATATTTGACACTAAGTATTTGTAATGTTTGCGGTATGAATTCGTTGGTGACGTTTATAATACGAGGGCTATCCAGAAAGTAGATTACGTTTTGTAATAAAAAAATAAACAAAGTATATTAAACAAATTTTATTATATACAGATGAAAGCCACACTCAAATACTACTTTTCTACATAGTCACCATACAAATTAAGGCATTTATCGTAGCGATGTACGAGCTTGGAAATTCCTTCGTCGAAAAATTCGGCCGCCTGTGCCTTCAACCACTTCGTTACCTCTTCTTGCCTTCCATCTTGCACAAAACTTGTGGTAACCAAGCTTTTCGCTGATGATTTCGTGCAACAAACTTCGCGAAATTTGTGGAAAACTCAAAGAAAGTTCCGTTATTGTGAAATTTCGATTTTCACGGACTTTAGCATCGACTTTTTCGAGAAGTTCGGCGGTCACTATGCTGGGTCTCCCACTTCGATCTTCGTCGTGAACATTGGTTCGGCCATTTTGAAATCTTATGACCCACTGACGCACTGACGCACTCCACCTTCAGTGATAATGTTGTCCCCATACACTTCACGAAGCTGCCGATAGATTTCTATCGGTTTACAGTTTTTTGCAGTCAGAAACCTTATTAATGAGCGCACCTCGCAGCTCGCGGGATTTTCAATTAACGCAGACATTTCAAACCGTCACAGTATCTGAACGGAGCACAGCACGAACCTCTCACTAGCACGGCTAGATGCAGACTGAGCTGCGCAACGCTCTGACCCCAAGATGGCCGCGCTAGCCCCGCCCCTAGCGGACACAGACGGAAACGTAATCTACTTCCTGGATGGCCCTCGTATAATAGATAATTTAGAGGTAAAAGTTTTTGGATATTTATTTTATACGTGGAAATGTTCATATTTGGAAAGGGTATATACTTTTTCGTTATTAGGTAATTTCATATATGTTCTTTTTAACGGGTTTAAAGATTCAGAAAATTGTCATGCATTTTCGTGAAATTTTTCTAATTTATGAGGAAAAAGGAGTGTACATGGATATGGTGAAGAGTGTGCGCAATGCCATTTTTGTGAAATTCTGGGATTTTTTTCTTAAGTAAAAATAAGTGGACGTCTACATGGTTTAGTGATATTTTAATTAAATGATAGTTATTTTGTGAATTTTATGTTTGTAGGAATTTGGTATACGTTTTAGTTGAAGTAAACGTGCATGGAAATAATTTAAATATTTGACACTAAGTATTTGTAATGCTTGCGGTATGAATTCGTTGGTGACGTTTATAATATAATAGATGATTTAGAGGTAAAAGTTTTTGGATATTTTATTTATTTTATATGTAGAAATGTTCATATTTGGAAAGGGTATATACTTTTGCGCAATCAGGTAATTTCATGTATGTTCTTTTTACCGGGTTTAAAGATTCAGAAAATTGTCATGTATTTTCGTGAAATTTTTCTAATTTATGAGAAAAAAGCAGTGTACATGAATATAGTGAAGAGTGTGCGCAATGCCATTTTTGTGCAATTCTGGGATGTTTTTTTAAGTAAAAATAAGTTGACGTGTACATGGTTTATGTGTATGTGTTATTTTGAAAAACGCGTAAGGAGTATGGTATTGTGCACTTTTTCCCAATTGTACAGTGAATATTTGTCATGATTAAGCAGTTTTGTTAGATAAAATTTCTAGCATAAGTGTAATTCGGCTAGTAGATTGTTGGAAGAAGTATTCAGTAGATGGAAAGAAACATGTCTTTACTTCATGAAGACAAAATTGCGGCGGGAAAAAAAAAATAGAGGGTTGCTGTAGGAGAGTTGGTCACCAAATTTTCGCCAAAAAATCGCCAAGTTACCATAATGTAAAGATCAACCAAATGTACAAAATAAGTCCAAAAACATATGTGAAAGGAATAAATAGGTGCAAAGTCAGTGGAATCATGTTATGATTGGCATCATTTTAAATAGCCACATTGAGCTACACAATTATAACTAATGTAACTATGAATGCTGAAGTATAGAGAGATGAGTTTCTTGATTCTTATGTCAGGTTATTTAAGATTTCAGTCAGTAGCAACTTCCATCTAATGGATGATAATGGCTGTCTGCATCTTGTTGCATTAGTGACTTATTGTCTTGAGGATGAAAGAATCCAGCAGTTGGAGTGGCCTTTATATTTTCTGGATTCATGTCTTATAGGACATGTATGGAAGACTGACTTGCATCTCTGCAGCTCCCACCTAGCTTTGTTCAGAAGTTTTAAGGTACTACTCACAATGAATATATTTTATTACCACAGGAACTCCTGCACAATATAATAAACAGCATGGAAAATCACTGTAAAGTTTCCATTTCATCCTGCAATTATTAAATTATTATCATTCCGTATGATTCCGTATCCATATCATTCCGTATTATTATCATTCCATATGATTTTACTAATTTTTTCTGCATGTCTCAAAAACGTTTTAAAACCAACTTTTACCTATTCCTCTTGTAGCACATTTCCTATACTTTTATTTAAATTAAATTCTTTTAATTTTTGCTGTCACTATTATTTACTGGCATACTTCCTTTGTGTTTCACTAAATAATCTAGAAGCTTCTAATTTATGGTAGCAATATGCAAGCTAAAAATGTATAGCAGAATGTATTGTGTAAATAAAAAAATAGTGATGAATGTAATAATAGATATCTTTGAAATATAGAATACAGAAATTTTAGTACATCCATTCATATCTCTTTTTTAATTAAAGTTAGAAAAAAAAAAAAAAAAAAGAGAAGATGGTGGAGGGGTGTATGTAATTTAACACATTAAGTTTTCTTTATATTTAATTTATATCATACATATTTTATAGTGTGGTTAAAATAGTTTTCTTTTATTGTGATAATATTTAACCCTTCTGAAGGCACAATGTATCTTTAAGATTCTTTTCTATACTTAAGTCAGTGGAGGAAAGTAACTGCTGAGTGAAGGGTTAACCTTCTTTGAACATTATTCTAGCTACTGAATTTAATATGACTGAAATATAGAGATACTGTTATTCATATCTGGTGATATACGTTGGAAATATCTTAACAACAAATTAAAAAATAAAAGTTGTTTTTTTATAATCATTACTAAATCAAAGATTATATATATACATGAGTTAATTTTGAATGTAAAATATTTCTATATTGTTTACTTTTCATTGTAAAGTTACTGTAGTGATATATTTACTTGCCAGCAAAATCTGAAGTTATGCAACTGGAAAAAGAAATGCACAATATGGCAGATTTAACAGAAAAGTATTCATTCTTTCC